AGTCGCCATGGGCAAATAGACAGCAGTATAAATTCAATTAATAATAATAATTGTAATTGGAGTCCTTGGAGCAATACCTAAAGGGCTACCTCGCTATTTGGAAATTCTGAATTTATCAGACTTGAATACCCTGATTCTACAAAAAAAACCACCCTACTTGGAACAGCTTATATCCTCCGACGCTACCTGAACAGTTCCTAGGTCCTTGGTTAGGACTGGAGCTGTTGAGCTACCAACCAGCCCCAAAGGCCGTGAATCTCACTAAAGATTAACTAATAATAATAACAATAATAATAACAATGGAGTCAAATCCGTACGTGAACAGAGTAGGGGACAAAGCAGAGGGCAGCCGTGGCCCAACCATTACTCACTGGCTCTCTCTGCAAAGCTGATGCAGCTACTGCTGGATAAACTGTTGGTCAGTCAAAAAAAGAGGATTCGACTGGTCAGCAAGAAGCAGGACACAGAAACTGTCTCCTCACCCACAGAAGCTCAATGCTGGGTTGGGAACAAACACTCAGGGCAGAAGTCTCCAAACTTGGCCACTTTAAGACTTCAACTCCCAGAATTCTCCATCCAGCTATTGAAGTCCACAAGTCTTAAAGTGGCCAAGTTTGGAGACCTCTGACATAGGGAATTAGCACTTCAAAAATAAAAACAACCCACATCCCAACCACATTGAGGACAAAGGGTCTCCAACCTCGGCAACTTCTGGGATTTCTGGGCGTTGAAGTTCACAAGTCTTAAAGTTGCCAAGGTTGGAGACCCCTGGACTACACAATGCATCGGACAAATAGGCATTATGCTGCAGTGTGAACCTAAGAGGCAAATTACATTCCCCCCTGCAGACGTGGTGCCAATGTAGTGGTACGACCCATTGTGGGTGGTTTGGCACACGGAGCCCTTGAGAAGGGAATGTTGGCTTCCTCATCCCCATCCAGCACCAATGCAGGATGGGGATCACCCGAGGTCCAGATTATTCAGTTCTGGAATAGCCCAAAGGCTGTCTCTTTGGGGACCCGTTCCTGCCAATTATACACGGTAGCATGGCCAGAGGTGCTGAAAAACTCATTTTTTTGGCAACAGATAAATGACCTCAAGTCCTCCCCTTTATCTCACCACTTATTTGTGTCTGCCTTTCAGCCTGCCCTGCCCGTTAATGGGCTATATTTCTGCTAGCTGAACTTGCTGTGATCCAGATACAGGGATTAAACCAGGAATGTTCTGGGGGCAAGATAAACAGGCAAGGACAGCATTCCCACAGTCCATCTCTATGGACTGTTACTCTGTCTGCAGGGCAGTTTAATATGACAGACTAAAGAACCAGCTAAATTAATAAGTTTAATATAGACTATTAAAAGCGACTTTGGTAACTTCATTATTACTATTATTAGATAACTATATATTGTTTTTTTTATTTTTAAAATAAATATTAAAGGATTATATTTGAAATAATTGAAATGAAATAAAAAGATGTTTAGATTGAGATTAATGAAAGAATTTAGAATTAAACTTTATTATTATTAGGCAAATACATATTGTTTATCTTTATTTTCAAAAATAAATATTAAAGGATAATATTTGAAATAATTGAAATGAAACAAAAAGATGTTTTGATTGAGATTAATGAAAGAGGCTAGAATTAATGTGTTTGTTTCTCTCCTCACTGAAAATTTGGAATGGAAAAGGTAATAATAGAATTAAGTATGCATATATGTATGTATAATTGCTGTCATATTTGTATGTAAAGGTGATGACCCGGAAATATGTTGTCCACTAAAGAGATTTTTGTTTTTAATGTGAAAAACTGAAAAGTTTGTTTAAAAAAAAAAAGAACCAGCCACAGCTACTCTAAAATCCAGTTATTTTTCTGTCTTCCTCTGGCCTCCACATGGACGGGGGCATTTTGAGCCAGGGTGCAAGCAGTGCAGCTGAGCCCCCAGGGCCAAGCCTAGTTCCCCGTTTTTTGTGCTGAGGGTGGGCGGGCAGTGTTAGGAATTGATAGTCACCTAACAGTTGGGTTGGAAAATATATAAACCAGGATAGACATTTTAATGCTGTCTCTTTGGGTGTGGTTCCTCAAACGGCCATAAGATGGAGCCAGAAACCTGGGTTGTTCTGCCCTGTTACTGAGAGTGTTGCCGTTCCTGCATTTCCCTATTGATTGTTGCTGATCATAGTTCTTCTTGGATTTGATGTAAGTCTATTTACTGAACTGTTTATGATACTGGACTTTGATTTTGGATTATCCCTGGACTGAAAACTGACTGCTTTAACCGTGAATGACTTGGACTGCTTGTTGGACTTTGTTTAACTGTTTACTGGAAGTAAAACCTACATTTTACTATTCAGTGTATCTGTGTGCTAATTGTGTGTTATTCAACATCTCTCACTACGTCTCCCTGTGTGCACTCATTCTCCTAACGGGGAATTACCTCAACAGGCAGAGTGGCATAAAGCTAGGTATCCCTGCAATATCCCAGCTAGCAGAACACCAGTGACAGGCTCAGAAGCCGCTTCACACGTTCCTCTGCATTAGCTTAATTTTTTTTTTTATCAGGAATGTACTTGGATCTGCCTGAGAAATACAGCCATGTTATCCCATGTCATTTCTAACATTTTACACACAAAAAAATCATCACGTGTTCAAGAAGAGTCAAGGAAATTGTGTCAGTTGCTTTATCAGTTTCATTCCTTTTAATGGGCGCAGGGCAATTGCTTCCAAAAGAGGCGAAATCTTAGCAGACCAGTAGCCCCCATTAATTCTAGCCCGTTTGCAGAAGATATATCCCAGGTGGATTGTGACCATGTCCATTTCTGAGTCCTTTGGACAAAACTCCCATCTCCCTGAGGGCACTTCGCAACGCCTCCGTTGTGAGCTTGGCGTGTCCCTCAACTGCCCTGAGGCTCCAGAGTTGTTGGAAGGCGGGATGCCGGGGTCTGCAGGTCTCTCACCCGGGGTGGAGCCCCCCCGAGTACCTATAGAGGTAAACCGAGCCATCTTCTTGCCCAGCCAGCAGGCAAGTGTCCGTGACTGACCACCTGGCCAGGGACCAGCTGCCTCCAGAGTTGGGGGGCAGCAATGCAGTGCACTGCCCCAGAAATAAATCCCACACCGCAATGGTTCCAGATGTCAGGACAGCTGCGGCCGAAGAGCCCCTCACGTCGTGCTCCAAGTATCTGAAGGGCCAGAAAAAAAAAAGAGTCTTTGGGGAAGCTGCAGGATTTGGAGCCCCCATCAACTTGCCTGCTTGGGGCACCCTTGGATTTAGAACACTGGGGACAGTGAGACGGAGGGTGGCACATAAATTTAATGAATAAATAAAGTTGTTTGGACCAGGGGTCTCCAACCACAGCAGCTTTAAGATTTGTGGACTTCAACTCCCAAAACTTTAAGATTTGTGGACTTCAACTCCCAAAATTCCTCATCCAGATGAGGAATTTTGGGAGTTGAAGTCCACAAATTTTAAAGTTGCTAAGATTGGAGACCCTGGTTTGGACAGAAGTGTAAAAAGGAAGCTCAAATAAAGCAGAATCAGGGTGGTAAGTGGGAGACCCCCCCACAATGGAACGTCTCTGGGGAGCCCTTCGCTCCTCTCTCAGCCACAAGGGCATGGCTGCCTTGAGAAGGGGGCAGAGTCAGGGAGGGAAGGGACCACCCGGTTATGGCAGGCTAAGGCCGAGCAGGGTCATCATCCCCCAAACTGCATTTCTGGGACCCAGATGGGGCTTTTCTGCACCTGCAGGCAGGGGGAAGCCAGCTGGGAAGGAAAGCGGTAGGAAAAAAGTAGCTTTTTGCCTTTGAACCCTTTCCTCCACTGGGGTGGGGGGTGGGGGTTTGCCTGGGCTTGCTTTGCTGGATGCCCCCCACCCACCCACCCAACCAGGACTGGAGAGAAACTACCAATTGCCGTTCTTTTCCGAGTCTGATAAGAATACGCAATTTCTGAAAGGCAGGCGGCTACTTATACAGTTTAAAGTGCGCATGTTCAGGCCCATCCAGTAGCTTTTAACTCAGGGGTCCCCAAACCTGGCCACTTTAAGACTTGTGGACTTCAAATCTTTTATTTGCTTATCCCTGAAGGACAGGATCTCGCCAGACTAAAGTTGTAAACCTTCAGGGGTCTCCAAACGTGGCAACTTTAAGGCTTGTGGACGCATGGATGGCTGAGGAATTGTGAGAGTCGCACAAGTTTTAAAGTTGCCAAAACCCTACGCAGGCAGGTTTTTCACAGAACAATCGTGTTCTTTTTGTAGCTTCTTTCAGTTGTACTAGAGTGCAGGAGTCTCCAACCTTGGCCACTTTAAGACTTGTGGGCCTCAAATCCCAGAATTCTTGGCTGGCTGAGGAATTCTGGGAGTTAAAGTCCACAAGTCTTAAAGTGGCCGAGTTTGGAGACCTCTGTTTTAACTGAACACTCCAGCTACTCTGGCACCGATGCTCCAGAAGCGGGGTGGCTCTCTCGGCTGCCTCGCCCAGGAAAGGCCCCTGCTTCGAAGCAACCACCTTTGACTGCTATTTTCTTCTTCTTTTTCTAAAAGAGCCACTAGGCCTTTCACAGCTGGTAGCCTGTTTTTAACCTGCAGGCTGCCCACCCGGAGCCTGGCTGAGCATCAGGTTCAACCAGGGTTCCAGAATGTTGCCCTGGCTGAGCTCCGGGGACAACGGACTTGGGCACGAGAGGACTGGCTTGGTCAGGAAAGAAGCAGCCCTCGAGGAAGCCCCCGGATCACACACACCTCCCCTGGGGTAGGCAAGAAGGCAGTGCCGCACCTTGCAAGCTGCAATCCTGGAACTGCGACAGGAGGGCTCTGCTGGATGTCCCGGGGCTGAAGAGGTGGGAAGAGGTTTGTGCCTCGGGGCTGCAGAGCCCACCTGAACATTTTCCGGCTGAATATAGAGACAGGCAGTTCAACACTACAAAGGCTTCCAGACAAAGTTACTTTAGTTGATAATTGGTAGTGGAATTTATAATTCCAGGCAGGGAGTGTGCTGGTTAGAGAGTATTTAGTTTGAGAATGAGAGCTGCCCCCTGAAGGGAGTGCTTCATGGGAAATGTAGTTCATGCCTCTTGGGAGATGTTGTCCATGTCACGTGGTCACATCTGTAATCCTGATTAGTCACTGAATTGACCTCGGGTTGGGCTGAGGGAGTTTTGGGGCATTCTTACCTGGACCCCAGCATCGTGCTGGAGTCTTCCTTTGGTGTATCGCTATGGGATGAAGATAACCATATTTTCACACTACGGAGGCGACAATGCAAGGATTGGACATTACATGAATCTCAGTATAACTGTGAGGATGCCTGATATAATCCAATAAAGTAACTTTGTATGGAAGCCTTTGTAGCGTTGAACTGCCTGTCTCTGTATTCAGCCAGAAAATTAGAGACTTGAAAACTCTGCAAGGCGACTCCTGCTCAGGGTTGCCATTGTAAATGCTTCAGCCTGCTTTGCTGGCATCCTGCCATAAAATATGGGGGGAGGGGGAGGTAGGAGAATGGGGATGTAAGGGGGAGGGATGACAGGATGATAGGAACCACAGGTGCCAATCCAGAACAGACCAAGCATCCAAGGTGAGAAGAACAGAACATGAAACTATACCAAAGAGGTGCCAGACCTTAAGACGGTTACCAAAACACCAAATTTGATTACTATTGGACATTCACGCGTGGTCAAGGGGGCAGGTCCCAGGGGAAGGGAAAATCACTGGGAATATTCAGATCTGGCTTTGCTTCTGCTGTAACCCCTTGGCTTTAGTGAAAGTCTATCTTTTGCTACAGATGGAGGCGAGGGTCTTTCTTTCCTAAGATGGGGTAAGCCCGACACCTAGATGGAGACCTTAATTCTGGGCGGAGGGGTACGTTTCCCCCTGTCAAATGAATTTGGCTACAAGGGGCTGGGTTTTGAGGAGCCCCCCCCCTCACTTGCCTTCCTTGGACGCCGGGGGGCGGGGCCAAGAGCATCACCTCAGAGCTTCTGGCGGTCTTGGGGTTGAGCGCCATGATCTGGAAGGCCGGGTTCCCAGGCAGCTGGCTGTCTTTGGCGTGTGGGTGGCTGAAGACCAGGAACAGGAGGCCCTGAGGCGCAAGACAGGGAGACATCAGCTCTGCCACCAGTCAGAGAAGCACAAGATGCCTCACACACACACATTCACAGCGTGGCTCATCACAACACTGAACTCGGAGCTTCACAAAGGGGGCTGGGCAGCTGAGGGGGGACTGTCTGAGCGTCCCCTCCCTTTTTGCGTGCCTTCAGTTGAGGCTGCCCAGAGGGGGTCTCTCTGCAGGGCTTTTTGCCAACTTTTTCAGAAATAGTTCTTGTCTTCTCTTTCTTGGGGCTGAGAAGGACTGGGACAAGGGCCTCTTCATCTATCATGCAGGATTAGAATTCAGAGTCCTCTTCTTTCTAGGCCAGTCCCTTTAATCACTACGCCAAACTGCCTCTCAATTATATCTTGGTCAATAGATTCAATAGAGTGAGTCCTAAGATGATGATTTATTGGTTCAGAGTCTGCATGCCATCAGTTACATGAAGTCAAAACCTCCTCTGCTTCTGGCCTCTCTATTCAGAGGATCTGAAGCACAAGCAATAGCATTTAGGCTTATATATAGAACCCCACAGCTCCCTCTGGGCAGCTTACAATGTCAGCATTATTTGCATGTTGCCACTAACAATCTGGGTCCTCGCTTTACCAACCTTGGAAGGAAGGAAGGAAGGAAGGCTGAGTCAACCTTGAGTCCCATATCAGGATTGAATTCCAGGTGGTGGGCGGAGTTTGCCTGCAATGCTACCAGGGCTCCATCACACATACCAGAATTTAAAAGCAATCTCCCTAAATACATAATTAATCTTAAAACCCTGGACCTTCCAAACGTTTCCCTACCTCTACGAAATCAACTCAAAATATTTACAACACCCAAATATCTTCAGTTGGGCAAGCCCCAGGGGAAAATGTGACAAATGAAAAAAAGGCCCCCAATGCAGCCTGCCTTGCATTGCCCCACAACCGACACGACCCCTGGGGACAAATGAATAGGGATTCGTGAATTTTCAGTCCCACCCAGAATTCAGGCACCCACCCACCCCTCTCACTGGCTGTGAATTTGCTTAAAAATATAATCAATATTTCCAATTTGCAATCAATATGCAACTTAATGGTGTTGCCTAACTTGTTGCTTTATCAACAGGACTCTCAGAGGGATCAAAATTTGGCAAAAGTGATCTTTCTTTTCCCTGGACGGATGCCAAGCTCTGAGTCCAGGCAGTCCTCAGCTTACAACCACAATCGAGCCCAAAATTTAGGTTGTTATATGAGAAATTTGTTGAGTGAGTTTTACCCCGTTTTTCAACTTTTCTTGCCACATTTGCTAAGTGAATTGCTGCAGTTGTTAGCATCCAAATTTTATTCATGTGACCCTGGGGATGCTACAATGGTCGTGTCAATATATAAGAAATTATGAGTAATATATAAGAACACGTCAGCCAATGGGAACTGTTTGGTGAGTAAGAAACAGTATCTGTTGTGAGCCATGTCAGATGGCTCAGAGCCTGGGCATGGCTTAGGGTAACTGGGCTGTATATATATGTTGGTGTGCTTCTGTGCTTTATATATTGCTTCTGAGCTCCGGTGGTTCTGATTGCTTCTGCTTCCTGTACTTGCTACTATGCTG